GAATATTCTAGAAAATAAAATATGATTTGAGGTCCTAAACTACTAAAATTGATCATCTGGGGTTGTATCTACTCAATCTTAAGATGCTATTCTCCTAAGAGCACATTTATTGCATACAAAACACCCACACACATACATGAGACTGGTCCAAGGTTTAAGAGGTTACATCCTAAAATTTGGGTCCTAATAATTCTCTTGGGGTAATAAGGTTCTGATAGAGGCAGTAAATGTAAGATGTACTCCCATGGGGGCATCTAATCTATTTGGCTGCTCTAGCTTTGGAAATCAATCATAGGTTAAAAAACTAAAAAGAGTAGAACATATTGAAGAATGCAACCTACTTGGGTCAAGGAAATAGATCTTTAAATGGTTTAATCACATAATTTGTTTATAATCTGGAAGAACTAATAACCAATCATAAAATAAAGGCCTAACCACCCTTAAGGCTCTCATTGTTGCTATTGCTAAGGATAATGATGATGACAAATACAAAAACTCTATTAAAATATTTAAACCATATAAACAAATCAATGAGGTGGTTATATCAATAATTTTAACCAAAAGCAGTTACTTTATAAAAAGTATTGTTTATACTCGAAACTTTTGGCAGAATGATATCATTTTCGCCTGTTTTTTGGCCTAAACTAGTCAAGATCAGAGTGATAGAGAATGGATCCTGACGAATTGCTCTCAGGGCGAAAGCTAGGTCAAACGGCCCTCTTTTGTCCGGACGGCCAGCCCTGAATTGCCAAGTCTGAAACCAGTTCAGAAATTTTCGAAAATCAAGATAAAAGGGGGAAAGATTTTATCTTAAAAAGGTTCAAAACATAGCAATACCGAAAACGAAATTAAAATGAACAAAATGAAAGAACCCGAGGTTGATCCCCAGGGCCCAACACCTGGAGACGACGCCAATTCAGGACCAATTCAAACATTACTTCTCCTGAGCTGTCAGAGATTTGCCAGTTGAAAGGGTGATAGATCTATCAGGTCGGGCAATTGACGAGCATGAAGAGAGCCAGGGGTCTGGCTTTAGTGGGTTCTGTATATAAGATAAGTGTAGGTAAGATTCTGGGTGTAGGGAGGTCTGGAGGGATTTTGGGATGACAATCTTAGTACTGAATTAGCTTAAAAATCAGGCAACCAACTAACCAACCCCTTGTAATGAGAGGTTCTAGCTCCAATTTTTAGGCGAGTGTTATATTCAATCATCGTCCAAAGTTTATGGCTGGAATTTGGGCCGTTCATGCAGCCAACGTGACGTTTACGCTCGTTAACGCAAGTATTGGACCCGTTCGTTGTAATGATTATGGGTCATGTCGCTGATATTTTGATGTTACGGCCCACATGATTTTGGGCGGTTCCATGCTATGTTCACAACAGAAATGTCAACGGCATTGCGGTGTACTTGATATTTCATTTTGGCCGTTTTGATCTCCAAATGAGGCTGTCAGTACTCATGGTGGAGATCCCACCGGTCATGATGGAGCCAACTTGTTATCTCATAACTTGTTCTTGGGCAGTTGCTTCAACCAATTGAAGGTCGCTAGATTATCTAACGGACTTGCTAGCTTCGTTAATACTAATGACGAATAATCATTAGTTGTCAGTTTCCGCATTTCCATGCTTGGCGAATGACAGTTACTTCAGCCAATCAGAGGGTGGCGAAATTGCCACCTTCGTTCATGTTGCTTGCGGTCACTTTTCAGGTAATGATTACTTTTTTTTTATTTTGATGTCAGGCGGTTAAACCACCTTTCTTGGTCAATCAAATCTCGATGCGATTTAACAACATTAACATTGGCGTTAACAATATTGGAACGATCATTGCGCTTGGAATCGCCTTAGGACGAAATTGGAAACCACGTTAGTTCTCTCTCTCGCAGCTACTTATCTTAGGCCCGGATTTACCCCTTTTTGGCCCCTTTTTCTTTCTTGGAGGTTTGTTGAGCCTGCTTTACTGAATTATGCACTCTGCTTATGGTTTTTATTGGGTATTTGATGTAGATTTCCGTGATGGTTGTCTTGGGGGTTACGGGTCCACATACAGTTTTTTCAATCGGGATTGGGGTGTCTACAAGTATTTCACATGAATGTTTTCACATGAGCCTAATAATCTAAATACTTCTTCTTTGTTCTGAGTTCTAAATCTAAAACAAGTTTTTGGTTAGTGGGGGTGTTGGGGTTATTTAACCCATTAAAGTCACCATGCTAAAATGAATAAACATGCCCACCTTTTTCTAGTTCCCAACCAAGAAAATTAACTTTTTTATAGAAAAAGCGTGTTTTGTGTTTGAAACTTGCGACACTGGTAATTTGTCTCAAATAACTTAACTTGTTTAGGGTTTCAAATCAGAACAAGGGCTACTAGGCATTCTCTAATAAAATGTTAACAAGGTGCCCAATTGAAAATAATATAAATAGTAACAACTTTATTAGTAAATACTGTGACCATTTTATTTGATAGTTTCATTGACTATTTTATTTATAAACAATACTATTAAGGAAAAATATATGATGCATCATGACATACAATTCAACTCTCCAAAACATCAAACATCCATCTCTAAGATGTATTTAAAAAAAGGGAAATTTAAGAAATACTAGAAAATATTTGTGGAATTATGAGATGCCCCATATTTTCCCAAACCTTACATAGAAGTCATATTGTCTCTTTTTTATTTATTTATTCCAAATTTTATCTTCTAATGCTGTAAATATCAGACCAATTTTTATTTTTTATTTTCTAAACTATATGGTTATCTGATAGCTTAGGGGTAAGTCCGATATTTAAAATATCATATTACTATAAAGGTGGGTTGTTCGATCTCCATTATATTTGGGGATTGTCTACAAAGAGACCATTTATCTTTATTACAAGGACGTCAGAACTATTCCCACTCATTAGACTCACATTGGATGGCTTAAGGTGAGTCACAAAATCCGATTTTTTTTTTTTGAACTTTGTGTCTATTCAATGATACTCTTTCAAATACTCATTTTAAAATTTAAAGGACAAAAATGATTGCGACCTCCTTGTACAATAGGTAAATAATATTTTTATATACTTTTTCTTATATTTAATCTAGAAAAACAATTCCATTGTAGGTGTCTTCCTCTATTTTGGGACAGCCGAATGTTTCAAATATTAGACCAAAACAATATTCTTATTATTTGGTTTAATAGCGGTCCAATGTTTGAATTATCGGACTGATTTTGCTTTTTAATCTATATAGTTGGTCCAACGTTTGAAACATCATACTATTTTTTTCTATTTTTTTTGAGAAAGAGTTCGTCTCATGGTTTTTTCCTATTTTTTTAGAGAGAGTTTGTCTTATGGCTTAGAGAGATTTTGAGATTTAGAGAGAAAGATTTAAGTATTAGAGTGAGAGAGTGGGAGGAGCCAGTAAAAGAGCAAGGGGAAGTAGCGGCTGTCATCATCGTGTGGACATGGGTATGCATGCTGCCTGCAATTCTCATCGATCCATCCATGGCCATGCAAGTAAACTTCTTTTTGAAATGAAAAAGAAAAACTCAAGGAATAAGCTAGTCAAATGTCTGAAACATCGGACAAGCTACTTTAACAAAAGAATAAGGCTTGGAACTTTCATATATCAGAGAAAGCGATAATTAAAAACTTGCATATCTCTTGACAACAACAAAAATCAAAGCTTCCATCCCAGTTGTTTGGTCGTTTCCTCATCCTCAACATCTCAAGCTTAATGTTGAAGGGGCTTCTTTCCAAAACCGGGACAAGCCAGGTAAGGGTGGGGTTATCAGGAATGGCGATGGTATTTTTATTGTTGCTTTTGCCATCCCCTAGGCATTGAAACAAACAACTATATGGAATTTTAGGCTTTAGAATATGCATTAATCTAGCCCTTGAACTTCAATATTTTCCTTTTCAAAGTGAAAGTAATTCGTCATTGCTTCTAAATGCTATTCATGGCACCGTAGGGCTTCATGAGTACTTCCCACATTAGTAGCCAACTGTTGTCACAAACTTTTAAATTGTTGGTGTAGCATTTTTCATATCTACCGTGAAGCTGACATGATAGCAGATACACTTGTTAAGAAGGGATAACTCTCTCTACTGTTACAGTTTGACGTGCTAAATTTCATTTCTTTGCCTTCAGCTCATCATTTGGCTGAATTGCCCTATGATACACTTGTTAAGACGGGATAACTCTCTATGTTTGAACAACCCAATTTTAAGGTGATCTCGATGTGTAAAATATCAGATTGGCTCTAAATTTACCAACCACACAATTCTAAAGAATAAAAAAAATAAAAAAATACGTTTAATATGGAAAAAGAGGCAACAAAATTCGTGTAAAATTTTGGAAAAATATGGAGCATCCCAATACCAAAAAATATTTTATGATAGTTTTGTCCATAAAATAATATCCCTACCAAAAACTACAATGAACAGTGTCAAAAAGAAAAAATTTCAAAAGTACAATGGAAAATTCTTTAAATTATTTTATTTCTTCATATCATGTTGTCAAAACTCCTAAAATTGTGATCTAAAAGCCAACCCTAAAATAAAATTTAAGGGGGGTCATATTTAATTAAAGAGTAATGATCATATGAGACCCTCCCACACCCATGTGTGTAGGATCCTAAATGATCACTATTAAATTTGGTTTAGATCTCTAAAAAAATCAGTCCTAGATTTGTGTCAAATTTAATGGTGATCATTTGAATTCCTACACATATAGATGTGGGAGGGTTTCATAAAATTATTACTCTTAATTAAACCGCACATTTAAATAGAGGATTACTCTTAATTAAACCTCACATTTAAATAGAGGATGCACATGACTCATCAAAACCCTATCCTACCAAAAAAAAAAAACAAGAAAAATTTTGCATATTGGAAAGCTTTTATGATTAGCCCAGTTCCCCTTATTCAAGGGAACACTAAGGGCACTTCAGATATTTTTAATCGAAAAAAAAATGAAATGAGAGGGGTTTTATTGTGGGGCAAGCTTTGCATAATGCCACTACTCTCTCTCTCTCTCTCTCTCTTCCCATTTCTCTCTCAGATTGATCCACTTCCCCAAACTGGGGTTTAGCAGCGTAGTTTCTAATCACTGATGCGAATCCTGATTCATGTGGAAAACCCTAATCCTTCAAATCACAGATAAGTGGCTGTCTACGTTCTCTAAATCTCTAATTTTTTTTATTTCTCTGTTACTCTTTCCACTGTTTCCTCATCTTTCTCTCTCTGAACATCTGAAACCAATACTCGGTTTCCCATTTTCTCTCGCTCTCTCTCTCTAAACTTTCGAAACCAATCAAGGTTTTTTCACTCTCTCTCTCTCTCTCTCGCAGAACATCTGGAACAATCAAGGGTTTTCATCCTCTCTCTCTCTCTCTCTAAATTTCTGAAACAATCAAGGTTGTTTCGGTTTTTCTCTCCGTTTTTCTTCTACTGAACATCTGGACCTAGACAAGGGTCTTTCCTTTTTCTCTCTTTTCTGCCCCTTTCCATGGCTTCGGCTGGAAACCCAAATCAAACAGGAGGCTTTGATGTTCAAAAACTTTTCAAACCAGGAAACCCGTCAAATATGAACCCTAATCAACCCTCTGGTTATAACCCACCGCCTTCAGCTCCATTTCCACCTCCTTTTAGCTCTCCCCAGGTCCCAAACCTCCCAAATTTACAGTCTGGTCCTTTCTCTTACCCACCCCAAAGCACCCCATTCCACCCTTACTTGCATTATCCCCAAGATCAGATTCCAAGCTCTCAACCAATTAGAACTCCAAATTTTCAGAATACTCCACCTTTTACAAGCTCCCCTTTGCCCCCAATTCACCCAAACTTCACTCAACCCCAGTCTGGCCCTAACCCAGGTGCTAGATTAATGGCACTTTTGAGTACCCACTCATCAGGTGAGCCTCTTGGTCCCACAAATTTGGAGTTACCCCATGGCCCAATATCCTCTGGTGATAGCAATTTCAATCAAACTACTGCTTCTCCTCAAATAGGTTCGAACATTTCAAGTCCTCCACCTGCTCAATTTCCCGCAATTCCCACTGCTCCTCCTGTTAGTTTAGCCCCTCCTCCAAATGCCCAACCTAGTAGAATGTCTAGTAGTAAGCTTCCTAAAGGCAGACATATAAGAGGGGATCATGTTGTGTATGATGTCGATGATAGAAGGCCTGGAGAGGTTCAACCTCAACTTGAGGTGAATCCGATAACAAAGTATGCTTCGGATCCGGGGCTTGTTGTTGGTCGACAAATCGCAGTCAATAAGACTTACATATGCTATGGTTTGAAGTTGGGGGCGATTCGGGTTTTGAATATCAACACTGCAATAAGATCGTTGCTTCGTGGGCATTCTCAGGTTGATGCTTCTTTTATTTGGTGTTTTCAGAATTGGGTTCTCATTTTTTTGTTATTTATTTATCCATTTATTTATGCATTTTGATTATGGGGTTCTCACTAATTGTTGTGCTCTATAATTTTTTTTTGTCGCGATTTACTGTTATTATTTGGAATGCAAAGAAAAGGGTGTAAAAAGTAATGCTTTGTAGAAGTTTCATAGTGTTGCATTGGTTGATATTGGTTGGAGTCTGACCTTGATTGTGCTATTCCCTTAAATTAAAACTGAATAGGAAGATGTATTTTTCATTCGGATTGGTATCTTGAAATGTGAAAATTAACATATTGCATTTCGTGGAATTGAGTTAGAAATATAAGCATATTTGAAGGAACTCTTCTTGGATATTATTATCATAGTCATTTACCTATTTGTGTTCTCTTTCTTTATTTATTTATATTGTTTGCTCTCAATTGATAGAATTCTAGGACTTCTCCTGTTGTGATAATCTCAAATAGCCTCATTGCAATTCATCGAGATATATGTCTTCTGAATCATATTCCTATCCTTGGTATTGCCACGAGTCGGAGAGATTGCATTGTCAGAGCATTTTCCTTGTGTCTCAGTTTTGTTATTGTTAAATGTGATCATGTCATCCACTGGGGAATTGCTTAATTAATATTTTGTTGCTGAGAGACATTAAATTTAAGAGGAGAGGCTTATATCCTTTGGAGATTAGATGTAGATTTAGTAAAGAGTTATGCTCATTTTGGCATGTCTTAATCTAGGAAACATTCTTGATTGTTTTTGTGATGGTTTTGGAAATGTGATTGGTGATTTATCAGGATTTCACGTCAACTCTTACACCTCTGTACGATCCTTCTTTAAGTCTTATATGTGTAGTCTCAAGGTTCACATTTAAAGCCACATCCTTCATAATGCCTCATTTGCTACACGCGGTTGGAACATTGGGTTAATGATGCAAATATAATTGACCTTTGCAGTTTGATGGTAGGAGCAGAAAAAATCTAGAAGAAAAAGATACTGGTTTCCTACACATTAACATACTAATATAGGTCAAATAAAAGAAAAGAAAAGAAAAGGAAGCTGTTGTATTCACACTTCACATTAGGTAATACACTAGAATGATGAAATTTGAAGAATCAATGGACTATTCTTTCCACTATACTTGATATAAGAAGATCTTCTGCATGTAAAGATAGAGCTAAAACTGGCAGATATCTTGTAGGAGATTCATGAGCTGCAGAATGGATTATGCATCACACAAATAGAAATACAAATGGTGAATCCTATGTCTTTGTCTCTAGTGAAGTGGTATCAATCTGTTTTGATGAAGAAGTGTCTTTGTATCTTGATTTCTGATTTTTTGGGTTTTTCTTTGAATGTTTCTTGGTGCACATTTTTTGATCATCTTAGTCATACTACTTGATATATGCTCGTTCTTCTTCAACGGAATCTGTGTACTATAAAAAAAAATGCTATGAATTGGTTCGATTCCCTAAGAAAGATAGCAAGGTGAAACCTATGCATGTTATGGAATACAATAGTGGATTTAGTAGCAGAGTTGCTTTGGAGATAGGTGGAGAAAAGGATTTGATTGATAATAATTTAAAATATTTATTAAAATTTATTAAAAATTCAAGTACACCTTTGAGACTCGTGGTTTTATTGATTAATGAATTGCTTATGTACTTCATAAAAGAATTTGTGTTAATTACTTTTAGAAGAAGGTTATTTATATGGCTAAAAGATGTTCGATGTGCTAAGTGGTGTGTGAGAGTCATAATTATTTTGTTGATTTATCTTTTGCAAGTCAATACGGCAGTCCATATTGGATAGGCTATGTTTTAAAATATCTATTAAGAACTCATTACTTGAATTGATGAAAGCATGGTATAAAGCTTAAGAAAGAGTGTTAATTACATGATCTATGACTTATAAAGGAAAAAGTTAATTATAAGACGTATGACTGTTGAGAAAGAGACCCTTCGTAGGTATATTTGACTCAGAAGGCCCATATAACAATAAAGAATTATCATTCTCAAAAAAGAGAAAAGAATTAGTCTGCAAAAATGGGCAGATTGGAATAAATGGCCATTTAGAGAGGAACGAGTCTTTTGGATACCAAATGGTAGGTTGTAATTAGAAGCCAGAGATTGAGGGTTCTATTTATCAGCTAGGATATATTGAGAAATCAGAAGAAGCTGGGATAGGTGGTCAACCTCAGCATTGTTTCTTATAGCGTCTAGGTGGGCTTTTAAACTTAAAGTAATTTTTTTTCTTTTTGAGGATCACTCTTAAACTAAATTGTTGATTGCTCTTCTTGTTTGCAGAGGGTCACTGATATGGCTTTCTTCGCAGAGGATGTGCATTTGTTGGCAAGGTTGTTATTGTTTATTTTCTCTTTATATGTTTTTGCATGTTTTATTATTGGCAAGCACTAAATTTATTATATGAGCAGTGCAAGTGTGGACGGCAGAGTATTCATTTGGAAGATAATTGAAGGCCCAGACGAGGAGAATAAGCCACAGATTACAGCTGACATTATCCTAGCCATGCAGATAGTGGTAGATGGCGAATCATCTCATCCACGCATATGTTGGCACTCACACAAGCAAGTAATGCATCCAAATTTAGTCGTAGTTGCTTAAAGTACACTGTTAGTTGTTTGAATATTTTCTTTAGGTACTTTTGTCTTTCTTCCAAGATTTAAAGCTGTTTTTAAACTCATACATGAACATAAACACAAGATACATGCACCATATACATGCATAAATATACACAATATCGACATGCACACATATATATAATTTTATACATGTGTTTTGTTTAAGTATGTAGCTTTTATAAATGCTTGGACTTCTAGAATTTACATTTACGAAACCTAGTCTTTGATGGAACCTTTGTGAACAGGAAGTTCTGGTGGTTGGCATTGGGAAACATGTTTTTAAGATCGATACGACCAAGGTGGCAAAAGGAGATGGTTTTGTTGCTGAGGACCCTATCAAGTGCCATGTTACCAAGCCTATAGATGGAGTTCAATGTATTGGTACACATGATGGGGAAGTCACGGATCTCTCAATGTGCCAATGGATGGCAACTCGTTTAGTTTCAGCATCTACTGATGGCACGGTCTGTACATAATTCTAGTATGCTCTGCTGCACTTAGTTATTTAAATAGACCTCCCTAATTTTATATTGGTTTGGAACTTGGAATATATGTGCTACATTCTTAGGCTTACTAACCAACGTTTTCATCGTTCATTTTTCCTTTGGTAAGTACAGTTTTGTCGGCACATTCTTTTGAAAACCTGTAAAAAATTATGGAACTATGTCCTATTGTTGTTACTTTTATGCTATAGAGTTAAGCAGTCAAAGCTTTTATATGCATGTTCAGAGATATCTGATAAATATGGAGAGGTGCACAAAGGTCAGCACGGCACAATGATGTACTAAGAAACTAAAAAAAAAAATCCAAAAATCTTAATTCCTTCTACGTTTATGATTCTTACTTTGTATTTGTATTTTATTTGTTATAATTATTCAATAGCTGGAGTTAAAAAATTATTTAATTATGTCATTTGGTAGCTGGAACTGCAGGACAACTTTATGACTTGTAAATGTTGTAACAAACAATCCTAACTAAACTCCAAACAAGCCCCAGACCTTTAAGAATTGATTGAATGGTCCTTCTATGAATCATAACTGACCTAAACAATGTCTTTGATGCTACTTTTCTCGTGCTTGAAAATTTAGCTAATGAGACAGCACATGCCTCGCATGTATGGCATTGTGTGTTATCCGTTAGCAATGTGCAATATGCACTTCTACTAATTTTCACTCCCATTTCTCTAATGGCTGCAAATATGTACTTGTTTATTGAAAGTGTCATGCTAAAAAACTATCACAGTTCAAGTATTTAAAATAGTACACATATTTGTCATAACGTGGCACCACTTGGGTTGTAGATGTGAGTAATGGACAAATGCACAACAGTTCTTATCAATCATGTATCGAGGAATATAAGTTGTAAGTGCCCATTCTTATACAGATAAAAAAGGTAAGGTACTTATTCTTATCAAAATCTAGGAGTTTTCTGATGGAAATCTGGTGAAGGGATAGGAGGTGTTCATCAAATTGCATCTGATTTGCAAAAAACAAGAATGTGTATAAGTAACACTTCGAAGGAACGGGAAAACCATTCATCCAACAAGAATGCTTTGACTACTACACTACCAATCAAGGTTTCGGAAGTCGGCTCGGCTGCATAATTTAGCCCCTAACCTGGCCAAGTTACTAGATTTAGTCCGACTCCCATAGTGCTCCGAGCCAGGAAATAGCAAAATGATAACTGAAAAAAAAAAGAACTTATGAATGCTTTGACTACTACACTACTGATCAAGGTTTTGGAACTCGGCTCGGCTGCAGAACTTAGCCACCGACCTGGCCAAGTTACTCGATGGAGTCTAACTCCTTAAGTGCTCTCTGAGCCAGGAAAGAGCAAAATGATAATTTTAAAAAAAGAAGAACTTATGACATTCCTGAAAAAATTGCTAGAACTAGGAAAAATTGTGTTTGGACACTATCTGGCCTAGGTAATCATCCCTTGGCTGAGCTGAGTGACTTGGGCTAGTCCACTTCGAGTCATATATAGCGCAAAAGAGCCTAAAACATTTAAAAAAAATAGAAAAAATGTGAAAAAATAAATAAAAGGAAAATAAAACCAAAACAACCTTAGACAATCCAAATAAGCTTAAAAAAGTATAGAAAAAATAGGTAAAAAAAACTGATTTATGGATGGGGAGATTGTAAAAAAAATCCAAATAAAAAGAAAATATAAAAATAGGGATTATGGCAAAAAAGAGTTGCCAATCATTTACAAAACTTCCAAATCATATAAAAAAAATATACACTATTCTCATATCTTTTACAATTTTTGTAGATTTTTTTTTAATTTTTTCTATGTACCCCAAGTTGTACATATAACTTGGGGCAACTCAGACTTGCCCGTAGGGTGAGTCCAAGTAACTCGGCCGAGTCACAAAACACTGAGGGAAAAATACGTAAAAGGATAAACAATGGAAAAAAAGTATATCAAAAGATGAGGAAAATTCTTTCGAAAAGTAAAAAAATCAATAAACTGGTATAAGTCATTTCTCAAAATAAATGGAAAGAATAGTAAACAATATTAAAAATCACTAAACAATCATTAATATATAAAAAACTACTAATAAGTCAATTATAAGTGATTTTATAAAATATTAGACTAATTATAAATGTGTTGTAATCATTTTTAGTCAAATGCTATATACCCCCAAGTTTGGAGGGTCTAGGGCCCTGCCGAGCCCGAGTTACTTGGTGAGTCCGAACCCTCTGGTCGACTTGCCTGAGTGGTCAAACATTGCTACCAACATAACATCATGTAACATTCCCTTTAGTTACTGAGATCCAGAATCTCACCCATCTGGTTCATGATCCTGCACAGGTGGTCTATCTTCCATTGTACTGGCCTGTCTTCCATTGTGCTTGCCTAATGACATTAAGTAAAACTTGGTGGACCTCTTACAGGCTGCTCAGTAGATCCTTCCATCCCACTATTCTGGAGTTCCAGAAACTTGTTAGACAAGATAAGACATGTAGAACTGTACCCTGGTAATAGCTTTAAAAAAAAAAAACCAAAGCAAAACTAAGGATGGTGCACATCCTAGAAGGGCATGGATTCTTGACAATGATGCCATCAACGGTGAGTTTATGTCCTTTAAGTTGAGCATGCTTCAGCAAATGTGATGCCTTTGTCTCAGCTTCATTGGATGCCAATGGCTGCCACTCATAAACCCTTCATCTGCCCTATCGGGACTAATTAATAATGAGTGCCGAGAGAACACAGAGTGTTGTATCTGCTCTCTAGCAACGTGAGTCTTTTGACTATGCTATTGAAAATTTTGTTGTTCTGTTCTTTCCTAATACCTCAGAAGATGGTTTATGTCCCACATTTTCCAGAGTAGTGACCTTGCTAAAGGAATGGATGGGAGTATGGGACGATAAATAGCAAATGAAGATACTATGTATGGCATCACACGCTTGCTCTATCATGATGTACGAAGAAACTAAAATGACTAATTTGTTTTTGCCAATAATAATAATAAAAAAAAGATAAAGCAAGCAGCACAAGGGCAAGGTGTCAACAGATTATCCGGTCTTTTCAACTTCTCTGCATGTAACAATTTTGTGATTTAGAAGCCCCAGTTTTGAAGATGATACCATTATGAAAATATATTTGTATATGTGTGTGTGTGTGCGTATGTGTGTGTGGTATTGTATTACATCAAAATTTGGTTGTACAAGTTTGCACCATTTAGCTCTTTACAAAATGGGCATTTATACACCAAATTGTTGAAATCGTAAGAGGTGATTTATACATGCCATCTTTGGCCAGTCAATCTGGCACGTCATGGAATTATGTCCATGAACAGTGGAAAGAGACCTGAGGTTATTCATAACAGTAAATATTTCGTTGAATACATTGCTTAAGTGCCATGAATAACTTGTGACAATCTTATTACCAGCGATAATTCAACAAAGCATTCTCCTGCATGGAGAGGCCAAGTTGTTCCACACTAGTTGGCTAGGAGATATTTACCCCGAAAAAAGTTGTCTAGGAGATAACCTAGCCACTCTTTTGTCCTTGTAAAGCATGTAAGAAGAACCTGATGGAGAACGATGCTCTTGCTGGCTAGGAGATATTTGCCCAAAAAAAAAAAAGAGTTGGCTAGGAGATAACCTAGCCACTCTTTTGTTCTTGCAAAGCATGTAAGAAGAACCTGATGGAGAACCATGCTCTTGCTGGACACTCTTGGAAAGCCTCTGTGTCATTATAGAGGTCAATCTAGAACAAAAGGCTGAGCCAATTTCCACTTTAAAGCAAATCCCAAGGGTGAACTGAACCCCTCCAAAACCTAGGCATGATGGCATAACCGCCTGGAACCTGAACAACTGCACTTCATCCTTACAATGTACCTTACTATTCTTTGACATCAGTGAGTCATATGTTTTGCCCCTTGTCAATCCCTATCTCCTTAAAAACCTGTTATTCCTGGAGATATTACATTCTATGGTTTGTCCATTTTCCTTTCATTAATCCAAAGTTGGTTGACCTTCATGCTTTGTATTGAACCAACCAAGCTGCAATTATATCCTGAAAACCTTGATCCGTAGACCATATTTTCGAGTTGGAAGGGCCAAAAACATCAAATGCAACAATTAAAAGAACATCATAATTCAAATGACTCTTTTATATGTTAAGAGTCTGTTCACTTATCACGATATAATGAAAAGAAACTGCTTTAAGAAGGCCTTGCATACAAGAATTCAAGGGAAACTATACTTTGTGACTTTTTGTGATACTATTAAGAATCTGTTCTACTATCGTTATATTTTAAGAAGAAACCAGAACTAATGTTTGGTGTGAGTCTTGTGACGGTTTTGGGGAAAAATCTCCCTTTATTATACCATCTGCAATTTTCTAATTGATTGGAATCCATGAGATAGTCTTTTTGTGGGTGATTGGGACTCGCAATTCTTTCTTTTTCTTTTATCTTGTTTGCTTATATGTATTCTCTATGCAGGTAAAGATCTGGGCAGACAAGAAGTCATTGCCTCTTGCAACTCTAAGGCCCCATGATGGTCAACCTGTTGGTTCTGTTGCATTCTTAACCTCCCCTCACCGCCCTGATCACATAGTTCTTCTAACTGCTGTAATTTGCTCATTTCCTTTATGCCCAGCATTTTGTTTATTGATATGGTGAAATATTCTTGTCCTCTAGGGCTCCCTAGTTTGTGGGTGTGAATATTGTATATGTGATGATAGGTTAGCTACAATCTGGATAAGATGAGCGAAAGTAGACTTAGGTGGGCTGGCCACATACATCGTAGGGCCAATACAACACCTGTTAAGAGGTGCAAGTCAGTTCAAGTGAAAGGCTCAAAAAGGGCAGGGGGTAGAGCCTAAAAGGAAATGGTTGGAAGTAGTGAGAAAATATATGGTGATTTATGGCCTCACTGAGGGTATGGCTCTTAATAGAGCAAAATGTTAGATCAGGATTCGTGTAGCCGACCCCTGTTAGTTGGGAAAAGGCTTCGATGATGATGATCATTTCAGGAACCTTCTTCAGATTCTGTTTTATGTCAATGATAATATGATGGAATACAATGGACTATGGAAAACCATTGTCCATTGTGTTCATGACCTGTTGATCAAATGATTTATGCTGATGGAAGGGGAGTTTGGGTACCCTCTTCATAAGGGTCGTGTCCTTCTAGTGGATCCCCTTCCATCTCCAATCATCATTTCATCAGGTGGTCATGCACCCAATGTAGTATGATTTTACCATACTCCAACGGGCTACTATTACTTGCCCTTATGTCAATTATGCTGATGCATTTTTCAATGTTCAAATTTTTTTACAGGGTGCTCTCAACCGAGAACTGAAGTTGTGGGCCTCTGCTGGCCCTGAGGGATGGCTTTTGCCAAGTGATGCTGAACAATGGCAGTGCATGCAGACACTGGATCTGTGGAGTTCATCTCAACCTCAGCCTGAAGAAGCATTTTTCAACCAAGTTGTGGCCTTACCTCGTGTTGGCCTCATCTTACTAGCAAACGCAAAGAAGAATGCTATATATGCAGTGCACATAGAATTTGGATCTTCTCCTTCTGGTACTCGCATGGACTATGTAGCTGAATTTACAGTTACAATGCCAATTTTGAGTTTTACTGGCACAACCAATGGCTTACAAATTGGGGACCTAGGTATAATTCAGGTATATTGCGTTCAAACGCAAGCCATTCAACAATATGCCCTAGATTTATCTCAGTGTTTGCCACCACCATTGGAGCACTTGGGGTCAGATGCGGTGTCTGGTCTTTGTAGTGCTTTTGAGGCAGCAAATACTTCTTCCACCTATTCTGCCCCTGATCCATCTCCTGAAATGGGGGGAATGCCAAGACCGAGATCACCTCTACCTGTGAGCAGCTCCGAGAGTGCACCTATGGCTAAAGGTCCTGTATATCCCAGTCCCATAGAGGTCCTTAAGAGTCATGAATTGGGTACTTCGAGTTCAGAAGTGAAGCTCTCGGGCTTGGCTAGTGTAAGTTCTGGCTCTGAACTGGGTAACATTCCGGTCCCACCTCCTCCACTGAGTCCAAGATTATCAGGAAGGTTAAGTGGTTTTAGAAGTCCTAGAACTAAGAGCTTCGAGGAAGGGGCTGGTGGAGACCAGTTGGTTCATGAATACTCAGTTGAGAGGAGGGTCGAGGCCCTTCCTAATGCCCCCTCAGATGATGGCTCAGTAAAGGAAGAGAGAAAATCTACCCATACTGAAAACTCTGTCGTTCCAAGTGCTCCCATGTTGTTCGAGAAATCAGAAAACATGATAACCTCATCTGAGAGTTTAACAATGAAGATATCTTCTTCTGATAGTTCTCTAGTTACCCAAGATTTGAGAGGAGGAGAACTACAGGTCCAAGATGTGACTGTCAATGCTGAAGCCAACAATGAAGAGGTTGAAGTCAAAGTAGTGGGAGAGAGTGGGCAAGATCAAGTAGAGGAGAGGGGAACTCTTGCTCCATTTTCTGAGAAGACTGAGAAATGCTTTCTCTCTCAAGCGTCTGATATCAGCTGTGAAACTGCTAGAGAATGCTTTTCTTCTACTGAAATATTTTCCCTTGAGGAGCCTCGCCAAGTGGAGGAAGTGGGAGTTGTAGAGGAAAGAGAGCAGTCTTCAAGTGCTCAGGTAGAAGAACGTCAGGGAACCCCAAAGGATATAGCTATTAAAATGAACGAAACTTCACCAAATGTTAATGCAACACAATCTCCTTTATCAGCTGGAAAAGGGAAGAAACAAAAAGCAAAGCCATCTCAATCAACAGCACCAAGTCCTTTTAATTCAACAGATTCTTTAAGTGGGGACCCTGGTTGCAGCTCAGCTGTTCCTTCAACAGAAGCTGTCTCCTCTCAGATTCTTGCCATGCAGGAGACCCTAAATCAGGTGAGAATCACTTTAGGGGTTTAGCCTTTAAATAGTATCATGTGATGGTGGTAAGGAGGCGCTTAGTTACTTCTATGCATTCATCTATAATTGATAACTTCTAGAAAGAAATATGCAAAATGAATATTAGTTATGTAGTTGTATGGTGAAATGATCTGTAACAAGTTTAAAACAAAAAAATCTATTCTCAAGAAACAGGGAAGATAAAGCGGTTGTTTCGAGGATGCGAAGGATTTTCTGTTCCTGTTCCTAATTATTTTCTACTCTTTTCTTTGTCATCTCTTGTGTAATACCCCTCTTATGCATTCTTTCTTTTATGCTAGTCTCTGAAGTTTGCTATAATGTATTGAATATTTTTATTGGTAATGTGACTACTCAAACAGACCCACTGCAATTGGTATATTTTTTAAGATGATAATTTTAGTTTAAATGAAGTGTTCATGCCAACTCAATTTATATTTCCTTTTCTGTTTCGATAGATAATCTTCATTGTATTGGTATTCTTATTCAATTTATTTTTCAGCTTGTTACCATGCAAAAGGAAATGCAGAAGCAAATGACTGCAATGATCTCTGTCCCAGTTGCGAAAGAAGGCAAGAAAATAGAAGCAGCAATTGGTCGAAGCATGGAGAAACTTGTGAAGGCCAATATGGATGCCTTGTGGGCCCGTTTCCAAGAGGAAAATGCGAAGCATGAGAAGGCTGAAAGGGAACGAGCCCAACAGATTACAAGCTTGATCACAAATTTTACAAACAAGGAAGTGCCTGCCATGTTAGAGAGGACTAAGAAAGAGTTGGCTACAATGGGACCAACAGTAGGCCAGGCCATTACCCCAGTTATTGGAAAGATGGTTTCTTCTGCCATTGCTGAATCTTTCCAGGTTTAAATTCTTTCTACTTTTTGTTATCTCCCTAGTTTCTGTGTGCTTGTCTATGTTTTTCCTTGTTTTGACTGGGATTATGTGTTGTTAAAGCAAATGTTTGTGATTCTTGAGAAATCCACCTCTGTAATTTGGAGCTTATCCTGTACTATAATGAAAGACAAGCACCTACAACATGTAAGAGCTTCCCAGAAACATAGGTGAATCTTTTTTATCGTAAAATTTTCAGATCATCCTTGGACAACCCCAACATCATTTCTATAAGAGGGAGTGGAGGGGTGGAGGTGGGGGGGCGCTGGGAGACTTACTGCGAAAAAATTGGTCCAAACGAATTGCCTCTCAAAGATTGATTATGAATGTCCATTTGAGGGATGATAGTGCATGGATCTAAAGATTTTAAGAAACTGGAGCATTTCTTCTATTGGAATTGTTGACAAGGTGAATCAGTGGTGAAAACTTTCAGATACAAACCCTTATTTTTTTTAGGGGCAACCGACCACCTAATACCTTATAGCAAAAAAATTAGCACTTTGACAGTACGTTATGATTTCCAATAAAACCTGATAAAAAGATTTACTTTGTTATGTGCTACTTATTACCTTGATGATACTATGCCAATAATACTAATAATAGTTCGAGTATTCTTTCCACCAAAGAAAATTATGTTGGAGTCCAATGGTCACCATTGTATAATGGCATCCTAGAAGAATTTCTTTTAAAAAATATTTATTTTTAATGAACTGCTTCCCATTAAATCGATAAATAAAGTACTTAAGTTGCCTGAAGCTTTCGTTGCCTGATGTGTCCAAATAATATAGTGTTCATTCCATCAAAAGAAATTCTAGGGCTCATCCTTATTAGATTTTTTTAGTTTTGTAGCATACCACCCATTAGGATAAAAAAAAACAAATCATAGCTCCCCTCCCCCTGCCCCAAAAAGAAAAGAAAAAAGAAGAAAAAGAAGAAAAGATAGCTTGATTGAAAAAAAAAAAAAACTCATCCATATGTCTCTAATTGCTACTGTTTGGGTTCTGCCTGTTTTGCAGAAGGCACTTGGTGACAAAGCTATGAATCAACTGGAAAAGACTATTGGATCAAGGCTGGAATCTTCAGTGTCTCGACAAATCCAGTCACAACTTCAAACCTCTGTGAAGCAAGCTATCCAGGTCTGTGAGATTATTTCGTTAATCATGTATCTCAGGGAAATGTCCTAAATCAATATTACCCCTGGAGTAGTGGAAATATGTCTATGATCTGTAATACTTTGAGGATAATGGTAACTAGGTGCTGAGAATTTTTGTGCAAAAAGTATGCACAGCAAACTACAGCGAACATGGAGAGAGAGAGAGAGAGAGAGAGAGAGAGAGAGAGAGAGAGAGAGTACGTACGAGAGAAGTAAGTACTAGTTAAGTTACGTTTACGTTTACTTACAGAGAGAGAGAGAGAGGAGGAGGAGACGTACGTACGACGTAAGGTAAGTAGTTAGTTTAGTT